CAGATTGGAAATGCGTATGAAGCAACTCTGAGATACCTTATTGCATATGTCAGAATGTCTAAGATAAAAAACACTAATGACAGCCTGTGTTGGAGAGTATTCTTAGTAAGTGGAACACTTCTCCACTGCTGGTGTGGGTAATAATTGTATAGTCATTTTGGAAATTGGTATGGAGGTTCCTCAGAAAAATTGGGAATCAATGCACTTCAAGATCCAGTGATACAAATTTTGGGCATATAACCAAAGAATTCTCATAAGACAAGGCCACTTGCTGAACTATGTTCATAGAAGCATTATTCATAATATCCAGAAGTTGGAAACAACTTTGATGCCCCTCAGTCAAAGAGTTGATAAAGAAAATGTAATGCATTTACATAATGAAGTATTCATCAGCAGTAAAAAGACATCATGAAATTTGTAAGCAAATGAATAGGACTAGAAAAAATCATCTTGTGTGAGGTAACCCAGTCCCAGAAAGACAAACGTGGGTATGGAATCACTCATAAATGGATATAAGCTCTAGTTGGATTTAAATCCATACAAATTTTTTTTGAAAAGTGTTTGCTCATTTGAATAGTTTTTATTTAGAACCTGAAGATACCATACAATTTGCCTTCAATATATCACACTTGGGCTTCCTCTGCTAATCCTGCTCCTGCCCTCCTCCAAGATGCAATTTCATTTTATACACAATCTTTGTAGGATGGTATAAATACTTACATCTTCCAAGGACTTTGTAACTTTACAAAGATATGGACACACTATATACTCAGCAAAACTACTAAGCCTCTATACTAACCTCAGGATTCTTGGTAAGTTCCATGCCTTCCTGAAGTCAGTGGTGAACACTGTGCTATCTAGTAAACTGGATATCACTCATTTCTTTCCTTATATTTAATTTTCTCAGTAGTTCTCTCCAACTTATTCTGTCCTCCAGCCTTTAATATCCATCGGGACTTCTACAGTGATGAAGTACTATTTCTCATGGCTCATATGAGATAGTCATCAAGAACTGATTAGCCTTCTACTGCCTCAGTTTATGTATCCTATATATAAAGAGGGTTATGTAGCCATGGTGCTCAGATTATTTGCCCCCACAGCTTACAAATTTATTTGTTTTTATCGGTTCTGTCCCAACCAGCAAATTCATATAGCAGGCTGTTGAGATTAGTTCTTTGCTTGTTGAAAGTTTTCTGTAATTCCAGCAATTTGGGTACTGATTTTTCTTTGATGAACATTTTCTCATATACCTAAATGCAATAAAGATTAATGTCTGCTTTCCTAGTCATGGATTTTCTATTTATCTTTATCAAAAGCAGGTCTCAAGGTGTATCTTTTGCTTTTTCTATGTTACTTCCTTCCTACTGCTACAAGACATCAATGAGTTCTAAGATTTAGGTTAGTAGATGGTTCTCTGTATTGCTAATCTAATTTGATCCGTCTTACACCTTATCCTCCATAGATATAATAAACACTAGCAGACACTTCCTTTTCTTTCATTCAATATACCTACTGTATTGAAAACTAATAGCAAATTGTCAGCTTCCCAGACCTTACCTGATGCAGTTCCTACATTATACAGGCGTTATTAGTCAAAGCTGACACTCACCAAGAGACACATCTCTCATTGTGCACAGCAATAGCCATGTTTTTTCCAAAGCCCCTCACTAATACTTCTGACCCTAATGTACATTTCTCAGGCATAAACCAGTCACACACCTCTCAATCGTGCCTGCCCCTCCATACAAACAGAAAAAGACAACTGTGCGGTGATTTCACTAATGTACAATCACTGTCTCAGTGACCTCACCTTAGCAATGCACCTTCCCATATTATATTACCAACATCTTTACTACAACCCTTCTACTCCCTTACAAGGTTAAAAAAAAAAGACCCATATAAAATACTGTCTGTAATCTCCACTAACTTATGCACAATATTTGCAGTTATTTTTCTCCTTTGCCATATCAAGAATAACATAATTGTTCTACCCATTCTCACTGGTAGTTTTGTTGTGTCATCCAAACTACTTCATGTGCTATTAATATTCCTTCTAATAGAGTGAAGGAGGAAAGTAGACAAGACCAGGTCCATGGCTCAGTGATCCCCACCCAAATCAGGTCTATTAGATGTGCACAAGCAGACGGGCATGGCAGATTTCTGCATGGCTCTCAGAGGCAGTGAGAAGCTCTGCCATGCTGTGATGGGTGGAGCAAGCAGGCACTGCCATATTTCCCTAGCAATGGTGAAGCTTATGTTTTTAAGAAGCACTTCACATCTTAAAAAGGGCTCCTGGACAGTAAAGAATTACATATATACAATATAACAGATTCAGACATAAAAGACCTCTAAATGGGTCACAGTGTTGGATAAATGTATGTAGGCTTGGAAAAGAAAAAAAAGAATATAGACAGTTATAAAAAGAAGTAAATGGTTTAAAAAATGTAGTCTTTAAAGAGACAGAATACAGACAGTCATAGATTAAAAGAATAAAGATAATAAAATAAATATTAAAATGTAATAGAGTAAAAAAAAAAGCCATGTAAAGATGTAGCATTCACAGAATGTCTGGATTATGTATACTATTATGTTTTCTTCGAATTTTTGACTGTGTTTTAAGAATTAAGACGTTTCATGATAGTAAGACACATCTGAACCTGGAAGCACCAAGCTACTTTAAGAGGAAGACGGTGTCAAAGAGGATTCTTACAGAGTTTGTTAGCCATCTGGTCAAGAAACTGCTCTTTCCTGGACTGCTAGATGGCATGCTATGTGAACTGGACAAACAGAATGCACATAGTAATGATTGCTGAATCATAAAAGAGTCTACAAGACATTCTACAGGGCACAGAAAAAAATTTACTGACAAACTGCCAATATAGGCAGAACTGTCTTTGAAATTATGTGCATCATAGAAAATTCTGCTGGACACTATGGGCCTGTAGGCTGAAGATGAATGCCCCAAAGGTAGAGAAGGGCTTCAGGTCAATTCTAGAGTTTTGAAAGTTGCTTACAATGTACTTCCTGTATACTTAGGTAATATTATATCCATCTGGAGTCTTTGATGGAGTTGAAGAATAGATAGGCAGTTATAGATTTACTTAGTTATGATAAAAGATAAATTAAATATAAATACTATAACTAATTACTTAAACAGAAAAATCAAGGTGTATGGGATTCCCCTCTGTATGCTGTGAATAACATTGGTTACCAAAGGACTGCTGTGAGCCTATAGCAGAGCAGGGCTGAAAGAGCGAGGTGGTGAAACTAAAGTAAAAGAAAAGAAGGGCAGAATCAGAGAGAAGCCATGTAACCAAGATGGACACAGATGCTGGAACTTTTCTCAATAAGCTACAGCATCGTGGCAATGTACAGATTAATAGAAATGGGCTAAATTAAGACGTAAGAGTTAGCCAATAAGAAGATAGACTTAACGGGCCAAACATTGACCTAAATAATATGGTTTCTATGTGATCATTTTGAGGCTGAGCGGCCAGAATGACTAAGTGGCCTTTCTCCAGCAGGTGTTAATAATATGTTTTGCATGTTTTGGCACTCCTTTCTAATGTTTGTGTCTGTGTTTTTCCAGCTCAAATAAGGAATAACCATATTTCTTTGGCAATATTGGTAACTAAATGTGCATGGTCTATATTTTTTCACATACAGCAGATTTTCCCATTTGTGTGGAACAAATTCTAGATTGTTAATTGCTTGAATCTGTCAAAGTGCTGGTATCTTCCTGCTCATGCACTTTATTTGTAAGCAGTAGTAAAATGAAGGTGTGATGTTGAAGGGAAAACAGAAAAAGAGGTCTAAGGGAGAGAATTTTGTTCCTGATCCAGAAAATCACTGAGCTAAATTTGGTCTGGTGGATAATCATATAAACTACACTACTTTTCATTTTCAACATATTCAGTTAGCATATCAGTAATGTGATACATACATATGAAATGTGATTCCACAAAAGAAAATCTACTTTAAAAAATAATGTGATGTTATTTTAGTTTCTTACAATATCAAGGTGGGAGAGAGAGAGAAAGAGAATTTCATAGATATTTAGGTTCTTCTTTTTGAATTCCATTCAATTATGATTATTTTAATAAACCACCATTGCTGACAGTCCTAAAAATCAACAGACTAAATTCTATGATATCCAGAAGTTTTACCAATTTTCCTCTTGCCAACACTTTTCCCATTTTTCTACTACCAGGATATCTCATTGTACTCAATACCAAATATGGAACTTTATTTTCCACAATAAAACCAAGTACCTTGATTGTGCATGCCCTCACCTGTATTCTTCATCACCCCACAAATAAAAACGTGTCTGTTGGTCAAGGTTGAGGAGAGCAATGAAGGCTGAGCTAGTCTGCATCCCCTTCTAAGTTCATCTGATTGTTGCTCTGTTTTATTTCCTGACTACTCAGGAAAACTTCCTTCGTAAATATAGGCAATTTTGTGAAAAGTTTCAGTTACTTTTCTTACCTTGGAGTCTATTTGATAATAAAATAGTTAAAACTGTAAAAAGGAAGAAAATCATAAATCCACATTCCCAATGACAATGATCAGAAAAGAATATGACATAACAAACAAAATGAAACCCTCTAGCATGGAGAAAATATGGCATCTGTATGGAAACAGCAAATATGCAGATCGTTAAAGGACAACACTTCCAGGTGTTAAATATCAACCAGTAGTATTATCCCTTGCCATCTTCACCTCACATTGTCCTGGAAGGTTTCCTCAAAGCAGTATAGAGAAAATAAATACTACACATTTCTTGTTCTTCAATGTCTGGCCCTCAAAGCAAACAAGATTTTTACAGTTTTTGAAAAAGGGTCATAACATTGTATAAAGTAAAGCACTCAGTAATCTCAAAATGTACTTAAGTCAAATAACCAGCAAATTCCAAAATAAAAAAATACAATGTAGACTTCATCTATTTACTTGAGTAATCAACAATCACAAATGAAAACAGAAAGTAAGTGGTTTTATAATACCTTAAACTCAGGGAAGGTGTCTCCTCCAGTGTCAACTTCTTGGGATGCAGAGAGGAAGACAGAAGCTGTATGAGAAATAATTAACATAAGTAAAAGGACAAAATAAGGATAAATAGATGTGAGTACTCTTAAAGCTATAAACATTTATTTAAGATTATTAATAACATGCATTTATATTTTAAATACAGCAATTGATTGAATTTAAAGCCAATAATTTTTAAAGCTATTTAGATGTTAAATGTATCCCACACACAGTGAAAATATATTACTTTGTGGTCTACAATCAAACTCATTATACTTCATAAAAAAATTGCCATTAGATGGCCAAGATTGAAATAACAGAATACTCAGATACGAGAGTAAAGACAGGGAACTAAAATTTTCACTTATATTTAAAAACATGGGACAAATTAGTTATCATGAAGAATATATATATGATATACAGTTATATATAAATTAGTGAAATGGAATCAGGTGCACCAAATGAACACTCAAATACATTTGTGTACATGTATATGTATATGTAAGGGTTCCACTGTATGTGCACAGTTATACAGAGACAATGTCAACATCAGAGCTCCTCTTCCATTCAATTTCAGCATATTTTCATTAAGATAGAGTCTGCCATGTATCCTAGAGCTCACCATCCTGTTATAAGAGTAGATCAATTCTGGTATTATAATGGGAGTTTGTGTGTGTGTGTGTAAATTATTACTGAATTTCAAAAACTTTTGATATTTGCAAATGACACAGTCATTTTCAAAACCATTGGGATAAGTGGATACAATATGAAAACTGAGTTTCTCACTCAACAACACATAAAGCACACTGATATTTCCCATGTACCAATACATATCTAGATCTTAAAACTTAGGAAAGATGGCTATTCATTATGAATTAATTATTGTCTCATTAATAAAATAATTGGTAATATGGAGGCAGAAATGTGTGAAAAATATATTATAATAAACAAAACTATGCAATTTTTAAAATAAATTATATACTCAAACAGTCAGAGTGACACAAATAGAGGATTTTGCTGGAACAATAATTGCCAGTTAGTTAAGGTGTTGGGAGAAGACCAAGAATAAGAAAAGGCATTGTGCATGTAAGCTACATGTGTACATGACCACCTATCTCTTAAAATCCCTCACTCTGCTAGTTCAATTCCCCAGTATGATGTCTCTTATGTATCATAAATAGGAATAAAACAGATACCAAATAAAACAGAAACTACATTTAATAATAGACAAAAATGAAATAAACCATCAAAATCCAATACAGGTCCTGACATAACTAAAGAAATAAGATAGGTGAATCAAGAGACTCAAGTATTTTAACACATCATATTGAATAAGTTAATGGATCAGAAAATATAAAATATTCCACCACTCTAAATTTAAAAGATAAATATGAGAACTATATACATTATGTTATGTCTTGCCATTTCTGTAAGGCAGTTCTATTAGGATTCAATAGGTAAAATTATAAAACAAATAAGTAGAAACTCTAAGAATTGTACAAAATGACAAGAAATCAATATTTTACATTCTCTCAAAATTATCTAATACATATAAATTATGTACAGAGATAACAGGAAACTGCACACAGTTTGGAAGATAATCTGTACAGCAGGGGCTATGACTACCTAAGAAGAACATCAGAGCCAGCCAGTAGAAAATGCCATACAAATTGTTGATAAGGGGGCCCAGGAGACTACTAAGATAGTTGTCTGTTTGCTGTGACCTTTGTTGCTTCCAAGAAGTGGAAGTTAAGTCCCTTTGCTAAAACACTGTGTTTTTGTTCTGGAACTATAAAAATTTGAACAGGAACTACATAAAACCCTAGGCCTGAGGATTAGCTGTCAGAGACCAAACGGTGTTAGGAAAGCTGTCAAGGAATAAAAGGATTGACATGTTTAATTTAGTTATGATACCTTTAAATAACAATGATCAGCATGGCAAGATTTCACTAAAGGTGCAATACTGGCTCATTTATCCTATCAATAACTAAAATCTACCTAATTGAACTCAAGTCTTCCATAAAACGTGGTAAAGCATGTTGAATATTGCAAATCACAAACATGACAGGGTTAGTTAGTCCATTAGGAGACCCTTACCACGACTTTCATAAAATATTATGATATCTAACAACATTAGCACTTTTGTTGTTATAGCCACAAACAATTTTAGAAATAGGAATCTACAAGTTATATTTATACACTAGTTTGTGTGTGTGTGTGTAATACATAATAAAAATAATGAATTAGAAGGTAATGACTTCGAGAGTGGGGTGATGACTACACAGTAAAAGTGTGAGAGATAGTGATGTTGAAATTATGCAATTACACAAGATTTTATTAAATTCTTATACTTTTAAATATAAAAGGGAATTAAATAACACAGTGAGTTAAAAAAAATACAGTTTCCGTGGAGAAGTAGAACAGGATAGGAGAATAGGGATGAAAATAACGAAAACTCATATAAATTTGTGAAACTTTCTACTTATTAAGAAAAATAAATACAAGAAGAAAACATTAGAAAAATCAGGTCGTGCATTGAACTTGAATTTTACAAATTTAAATGGAGGTAATACCTAGAATCCTCAAAGGTTTAATATGTCTCCAAAAGTTAGAAAGGAAAAGATACAAGTTGACACCACTTCACAGAACATTTACTGGACATTGTTTTCAATAAAATTACTGGAAAAATGAACAATAGGTGTTTCTATAGCAAAAAACATAAACTATGTCTAATTAAAATGAATTGAATGTAATACCTACAGAAATATTATTTCTATTTATAAATATATCTAGCAACCATACCACTACATGAAAAGATAAAACAAAATAATGGAATGTTTCATGCAAGAAATTAGTAATTGGAAAGGAAATGGAAACATAAAATGAGACTTACAGTGCCACCAGCTAGGTGTGATGAGTGTGTCTTCAGTGAAACCTCTCAGAAGTTGCGGAGAAGTACTTCCTCCACTCCTGATTCTGAGAAAATAATGAGCAAGCTTGTGAGACCCTACATCAGGATCATAAAATAAACAAGAATAAATATTGAGAAACTATATAACATCTACACTTAAACAAAAAATTATTTTCATATGATTAGTAAGATCTGCATATAGTTTAGAAAGGACCAAATCCCTAGACAAGTAGTTTTAATAGTATTATTAGTGCAATATAGAGATTACATACAGTGGGCATAGAATACTCCATGTATGCCATTCATCCAATGATCAACATTTTTCTAAAATTTGTATAGAACACAAGAAATCTAGTATTTACGAAACTGTCCTGAGAATAAGAAAAAGGTCGTTCCACTCACACCTCCTGCTTTCAGACGTGCTGATATAGAACACAACACATATACGTAAACACAAACATATCTGAGATAAATTAAGGGCTCAAAAAATGTCATTTTACTATTCATCATGTAAATCATCTTATAAATTGCCAAAAGATATACTAGGTATAAAGTTTCTCAAATGTTCTATTCTAATGGAATAAAACAGTAAAATTTGAATTTTCACTTACATAAAACATATAGATGATTTTTGTACTTATTTATTTAGGAATGTGTGTGTGTTTATGTGTATGTGAAAAATTGCCAATAAATCTAAAAGTGACCAATGAGCATTATATGAGAGGATTTAGAAAGAAAAAAGGAAATATGATGTAACTATATTATAGTTTCAAATTTTTAAATATACTTAAATAAAGAAGCAGATCACATATCAAGCAAGAATTACAATATTTATATCTACTTTATCTTCTATCATAACTAAAGAAAACTATAATTATAACTATACTTCAACTATATAAAAGATTCAAGAATGATATAATATTACCAAAGTAAACAGTAAAGTGCCTTATAAGCAACTTCCAAAACTCTAGAATTGACAGAGACAGCTTGATGCCTTAATAGTCACTCAAAGTTTTTCTGTAATTTTGGGGCATACATATTTAGCCTAAAGGTACATAGCATCCGGCAGACTTTTCCATGAAGCAGTAACATTCAAAGCCAGTTCTGCCTATATTGGCAGTTTGTCAGTCACTTTCTTCTGTAACCTGCTGAATGTCTGGCAGTTACTTTCATGAAGCAGGAATCCTGAAAGACTGTCATACGTTCTTTAGGCTTATTTCAGCAGTCATTTTTCTGTGTGTCCTGCATGTCCAGTTCATACACCTTACAATCAAACAGCCTAGACAAGAGAAGTTTCTTCCCCAAATGTCTAACAAATCTATAATGAGCCTCTTTGATACACATAATCCTCTGGAATCTATATTACTTACTCCAAACCATCATATAAGGTAAACTTTGGGAACTTCTCCAAATTAAAAAAAAAACAACAAATTGTTCCTCGATCCTTGTGTTTTCTTCCATACTACCTCTGCTTCCTTCCCTTTCCACTACCTTGTTGAAAATGTTGAATGCTCTTTTCTTGGCAATCAACCTGTACATATGTATTTGAAGCACTAATTGATCCATTAATTTTGAAAAATAAATAAATTATTATAGAAGGAGGACATGTAGCTTTAAAAGATATTTGACAGGGGCATCAAGGATGAGTTTAAAGGTGAAAAATGACTATAAAGATTTACCATATATACATATTTAATTTAAAGAACTAAGTCAAGTAAACTTAATAAGCTTCATGTGACCCTTTTATCAATTGTGTCTAAGCTATGAAAGAATATTTAAAAACAATGATCCATGTGGCATATTTCTAGGAGCAACTGGGTTTTTAAGCATGCAAATGCGTGAGTAACAAAGGATTATCAAGTAAGGAATATACATTTCTTTCTCAATCTCTGTCAATGAAAATTATATTGTTATTCATTTAAAAAGAAGGATCCTGTGACATGATATTTCATAGAAATGATTATGAGAACTTTTCGATATACAATTTTAACATAATGCTATGGTTTCAATAATAATGCTGCTCATAGAATCATAAATTTAAATCTAAGTCATTAGGGAGTACCAATAATAGGAGGTTTGACCTTACTTGAGTAGATGTGACCTTCCTGGAAAAAGTGTGTAACTGGGGATAT